AGCTACATATAACGGCATAACCATCAAAAAAGCATGGTGGTCCCCATGACTGGTGTTCTCCTAATGTTTCCCTTGAATAGTTTACTACTATGTAATATAAAAACCTTAGCCCCAGCAACGCTTGGTCGGTCTGCTAGTGGGTATATATTTTCTATGCGATTCAATTGACATAACCTACATACAATATTATTTAACAAGTTTAAACGATTAATAGATAATTCGAAAGTCTTAAAAACTTTAGTATAATTCGTACATTTCATTCACTCTAGCTGATAAGTTTTTTATATAAGTAAATTAATAAGTTATATGAATATTTTGGAGAGATACTGATTTGTATGTTCACTACTTTATTTTTTAAATTTAAGGCACCATATGAGGCTTATTTTATTCTATTTGGATTAATACAAATTTGTATTAACCCTAAAAAAAGTAATGGAACGCCCAATGTCGATGACGTCATTAATTTGGTTTTAACTATAGAAAATTTAAGTGCCTTGTATGTATGTTCGTAGGCCATAACACATCTCAAATGTCAGAAAACACTTTCACAGATTACATAAGAATTTTCAAAAATCGAATGAAAAGTCATTTCAATGTAAAGTTCACTCTTGGTATGGATCTATAAATATTCGTGGACGATTTAGGGCTATCATATCATAATTATCAGGACCCTTACTCTGTAAGCAAAGCTCTTAAACTCAACGTTACGGCAGTTTTTGCCACGCACCACCACTATATGAAACCAGCTGCCCACTGAACTAATTCGACTTCGGGTCCTTCAAGAAAAGAGCGTACCAATTCATAAAAGGTAACGCACTCGCGAGCCCTCTGGCATTGAGTGTCCATGGGCGGTGGATCAATTAACATCAGGCGAATCTCCGCAGTTTGCCCTCTGTTCTATATAAAAAAAAAACTTCCCTTAAAGATACCGCAACGGTCAAATAATGAGTTTTTTGCCCAAGGTAGCGACATCAGCGCTTCGGATATTGAGAGATTACAACGAACTTTAATACAAAAATGTCGATGCGCTGTTGGAAGTTACAGAGTACGGGCTCAGATTTCTACATCGGTTGACTTTGTGATGGAGAGTTTACAAATCACAAACCTACATAGTCAAACGCTTTCCATTTGCTCTTTCGTTCCGCACGGCGGACACATCTTTTTCTCCGTATGTTTTTGTTTTGCATTGTTTACGCTGTTTCAAGCATTACGCTTATGTAATGAAGAAAGTGCCCCAGGCTTTTGAGCTACTTTTAGGTTTGTTTTTTTTTAAATATTGAATACCAAAATCTTTCCGAGGCTCTGGTTAGTTTGATTGAAAGTGTCACAGTTCAAAATGCCGCATAGATATGGTTCTATTTGACCACATAAAAGATAGATTTACATGTAAAAATGGTGCCGTTCAAATGAAATTGAATGCATTGAAAGATTTAATTAATGTTAAAGACAAAATTATAATTATTACTATCTCAATAATATTACTAGATTTAAAAAAAATCTGTTATGTATTAGTCAATGAAGAATAATTTAAATAAACAATAATTGACGCGATTTAACTATAAAAGTATAATTTAAAAATAACAAATAGTTTGTGTATTACTTTGTTCAGTAACATAAAGTATTATTTATAATATTTTCTAATTCATACAACAATACCTTCCGTTCGTTAGTATGTACAACTTTAAAGTATTTTTTTTTAATTAAAGAAAGAAATACCGAAAAAGTACTCCATCTAAACTGTATTTCATTTAAAATTTAACACTTAACCATAGGCAAACAATAACAGTACATCATTGACATTTACCAACCTACACGTCATTCAGGCCATTGAGTCTCGTGTGTCGTGAAAATAAATAAATAATTACAAAATTCATAGTTCGCAGTCCCGTGAACCTTCAATGGGGCACGAAACAAAACCGTCGTCTTTGTATATAAGGGTGACACTCAGAGTCCAGACTAAGCGCTAAATATAACTTGTTAAGAACGTATAAGTTAGAAGTACGCAGTTCTTACTAATAAACTTAGTGCTAAGTTTCGACCTTGAATCTTATTCTAACCAGTCGTCCTTCACCGTATTAATGAGTAGTGCAACCGAAATCCCATAGTTTAGCAAATATATATTTTATATAGATTTACTGATTCGGTAAACGTTTTTTGATATACTATATCTTATATCGGCAACTGCATTGAATATTACAGAACTATTATTATTATGGCTAGCTATAGGAAATACTTTAATACCCAATTCTAACACTTATAATACTTTAAGACAAAATTCTATCACTAAATAATTTCATAAGTTTCAGAAGAGTTTGGTTACAAACGCTGTGAGATTTTTATATACAATATAGATTATAAATTCTATTATTCAAATACTTCTAACCTCGAGACCTTAAGTGACGTTTGGCACATCCATATCGGGCTGTCACAATACATGTATGGTGCAGTGTTTATTGGTTACTGTGCCGGAAATGTATAATGTATTCAATAAACAAATGAGTGTATGTACTGTATTCAGTGACAAATGTTACCAGGTATTGCGATTTTGTGACTACAGACAAGTACCGTAAGCAACAATGTTGCAGCCATTTCCGCTGTATCATTTATAAGTTATTGTTTTGTTGGAAATTGAAGCCAGGATCCTCGTTATACGGTTGCGGTCGCAGTTTTTAGTTTCTTATAACGTTACCTATAAATATTTATAAAATAAATCAGTGGCGCTACAACCTCTTTAAGTCTGGGCCTTAGACTTCTGAATCTGTTACATGTTCATTTTTCAATCTAATAGGAAAGTAGGAGATCAGCCTCCTGTGCCTGACACATGCCGTCGACTTTTTTTGGGTCTAAGTTTAGTCGGTTTCCTCACGATGTTTTCCTTCACCGTTCGAGCGAATGTTAAATGCGCATATAGAAAGAAACTCCTTTGGTGCACAGCCGGGAATCGAACCTACGACCTTAGGGATAAGAGTCATACACTGAAGCCACTAGGCCAACACTGTTCTAATATATATTTTATTTAAGTCTAATAACATTGTTTTATCTAAAATCTATGACATTATGGTGATTTGATCAATTCTTTTTTAACAGTGCAAGTAATTTATTTATTGATAAGATATTTTAGGTAATCGCAAAGCTTTCTTGATTATAAGCTTATTTGTCGTGCAGGTTTGTTAATGTGTTTTAATAAAATGATTAATTTAGCATTAATTAATAAATCTGTCAAATCTGTAAGACCTTGTAGCTTCTAAATTTAGATATGATTTAAAAATCTTCTGTTACATATGACAGACACACACACAGTTCACATAATGTGGCCTTGTTAAGGCTGGTATGGTACACGTATAGTAATAAAATCTCTAAGATACAAAATCAAAATGTAAAGATCTCAAAGTGAGAATTTATTACCTACGACGGACGAATATTCAATAGAAATGGACACAAGTACAAATGCGGTTTACGCGGTTAATACGATGTGGTTATATTTTAACTATTACTTTTAAACAGACAATATTTTTGGTTTAAAACAAATCACGTCGAAAAATCCTATTTATTCGATTTTTAAGTCTTATAAAAATGCCGTGACTCACTCAAAATCCAATTATTATCTAATCGTAAACAAATTGTTATATACATAGATATTGACGCAGGGCGTCTTTAAATTGCAGAAACTGGTTCCGGCGGTCAGTAGGGAGTATGTACTCGCAAACCGTGAGAAAACATCGACCTATTCCTATGATTTGCAGATTGACGTTCGATAACTTTCCAATACAGTAGAGCACATAATAACTATATTGTTGACCTCTCACCTCGGAGTACAGTAGATACTTTGATATTTCCATATGTGTGCACTTGTTCGTATGGGAATTTAAAATAGTCTTTAAAAAATTTTGTTAGAAATTAGAAGAAAGAAAACATATGTCTTTTTGTTAAGAAACGAAACTATCTCTGCTCCCACTTGGTAAATGAGCCTTCCCTTTGCGTTTTATCTAGCTAACATATTATATATATATGTAGTACATACTAAGTGTCTAACAGTATATGGAAAATATTGTAAGGTATCAAAGAAAAATTAATAACTGCGTCAGCTGCAGAAGGCTGCTCGCTCTGCCTATAAAGATAATTTATTAATGAGACAAAGAGAATGGTTATGTTTGGAATATAAAAGTCGTTTCGTTACTTAATATTGCTAGCTATAATAATCACGAATATCAAATGAATACAATATTTATTGGTATAGGTACTGTGTATTTGTGGTGACTGGTCGTAGTTGCATTCGTGTATGCGGTGATATTAATTATTTCGACTATGTGTTTGCGTGTTGTTCCCACGAAAACGTAAGTGCGTGCTCCTATTTCACCATGCCTCCTGCTGATAGAGGAGAAGTCTTTGTTTTTAATTTATGTTATTATTATTAATTACTTAAGATGTCATGTGGAACATGGTGTAATGGTTGCAGCTCCTTACAAACGTTGTGTAAAAAAAACATGGCGATTAAAAGGAGTGGCGGAGAGTTTATTGCCAGTTCTTCTCTTCAGTTCTACGCCCTTGATTTGAGAACTGTTACTAAATGTAAAGTTAGAAGCACATCTTTTTTTGACGATCATAAGTGTACATTGTGTTACCTATATGATTAAATGATTTTTGAATTTTGAATTTAAATATAAAATATGCCTTTAATATAAGAAAATATGACATGAAGAAAAGGGTGGCGCAACTTTTTATTGGAAAAGATTTGATGGAGATGCCTGAGAGCCGCTTAATTCTGAATATACGTGTGTAGGAAAATTTCAAGTAAAAGGCACTTCTAAATCTATGTTCGCACTGATATCGCTAATAAGGTATGTCGATGAACATTAATCAGCCATTTGCAAGCATGAAGCTAACCAGTTACTAGAACCTGACATTGCATTTGCAATACCTGTGCATTGTACCTATTTTTAGCTGTGCATACATTTTATTAGCTACAATGAAATTTGTTGAATAATTTTAAAAATTCTACTATGTCCAATAGTCATAAGAAATTGATAATTTTTAACACGAATTTCGTAAGTTTGATAAAAGCACTTAGTATCCAAGAGCTATTTATGTTATAAACGATTTTGAACGAACGGATGAAAACAAATTTTGATAAATCAATTCTTTGTTCTGTAATCAACATATCCACATAATGTATAAATTTTAATCCTATTTATGACAAATTTGTTTCGTATTTAAAATTATAAAAGTCTCATGAAGGAATAAGCTGTGTGCTTGTGAAATGTTTCTATAAATGTCAACAAGTCCTAAATCGTTGATAAACAAAACACAGTCGATTTTTAATTGACCACTTGCCACCATTAACATGTTAATAAATTTGATATACATTATGTTTTGTTTAGGTTGACTATTCCCTACTGTTGTAAAGCAGACGGGATGTATCACTTTATCACTTGCGATTCCCATTTATCAGACCCGCATGTCCTGCATCACCATAATGACGTCATGACCTTGTTCAAGGGTTCAGTCAACACATGTAGTATTACAGCCATATGCTGTTTCTTAATTTTGTTTGATAATAATTAAAAGCTAAATTTAATAATGCTATGTTTGACGATGTTCCTTTTCAAATTAGAAGTAATAAAAGTTTTTCGAATAGGTTGTATTTTCGTGTTTTTATAAACGTTTTACAACTGAATTGCAATTAATATGTTGTAATTTTCTTCTAACATATATATATATATAACTAAATATTTTTGACATGAAAATGTTTCAATATTTAACAGCAAACCGCTTACAAAGCTTTAATAAGGATAAGACCTTTGACCAACGACGTAAATTGATCAACACTCTTTAAAAAGTGAGTAAAGTGTCCACTTTACTGAAATGAAATAGTCATACATTTGTGGAAAATTATTGAATTAATCCAAACCTGAATTAAAAAACACTGAAACACCACAATCACTTATTTCACTGACTTTGCGATTGGTCCGCGAATTAACTGACGGGCGCGCCACTCAAACACTTCGACTGAGTGCGCGAGCGCAGTCGAATGGTAGGCGGAAACTTGCTGAGCCTGCTCTAATGGTTAACTCAATTACTGATGGTTATAATATTTGTAAAGTGGTTTTCGGAAATTATTTAATTAAATGATACAAGTGATTAAAATTTAATTTAAATATCACAGTGATATTGTTTACAAGGAAAACACTATATTATACAGTTTTTAGTAACTTTTTGACTCTTTCCGTCTAATTGTGTTTACGCTGTTATGAAAAGAGAGAGATTATTTATTAGTTAAGTTTAGTTTTGATATAAAGAAGTTAATAGATGTCAAAGAACGTGCTATGAGAAGCCTGGGTAATCTGGGTTTATTTTTTTTATATAAATTAGGCTTTTTCTGAGTAGTTTTCTCGCTAATGGTGATTATTTATATGTATTTCATACAGTGATTAAGTCAATACGACGACGAGTAAAAAATTAATTCGAATTTCAAAATACTTGTCATTTACGTATGCAATTTGGTTTTGCAAGTGTTTGTGGGCGGAGCGGTTTTTCGATTTTTCGTAGGCGTTGCTCTGTAACGTCACAAGGTTATTACTCATTGTACGAGACAGAGTTTTTGTATACAAGCAATGTGTATGGTGATTGAAAAGTACTTAGGCCTTGAAATAGTTCATGATAGAACTTTAATGAAAACGGATTGCTACGGTAAAATTGCCATACATAAATATCGATGAAAACAATACAAAATACTTTTTAAAGGATCGCGAAGCCCTTTGCTTGACTTGTCTTTGTCTTTGATACATTCATACTTATAGCATTCATTCGTGTTTATATCCGTTCGAAAGGGTTTATTTAAAAGAAGTACTTTTTTTAGCGAGAATTGATTTATGAAGCATTTTTCTATAAATTAAGATGTGCCGTAATTGTGGAGACGCGTTATTTTGTTCAAATATCAAATATGGTTACGTATTACACATTTATTATAGTAGGTTCATTAGTTTTGTCAAAGGGATCGTGTTAACAATTTAGCCACTTAAACTTTAGATGTCTTCTTAAGGAGTTACGTCATTTTGTCATATTTCAACATATATTATCTAATAGAACATTAATGACTCATACCCCTTGAATTCTTGAAAACTTAAGTGGTGATTAGGTAAATAAGTTCTCTCATTTATTCTTTAAGCTTATTGAGTTGGTTGTTTCTTCGAGTTTGCAGCGCATGAGGAATGTTTGCAGAGGCGCGGATAATTTGCTTTTTTGCAACAATGCGAGGCAGTTCCGACAACATATTAGATATGATAGCCAATAGAATGGACTTCCCAACTACAGCACGAAATGCGCTGGGTTGCGGCGCTAATAAAATCTAGTAATTTTCTTTACTTACTTATTCTACTTTTTGAGAAATTTTGAAACACAATTAGTTTAGGACTGTCTTCATTGGCTAAATAAAGTTTTTTTTTCTTCGTTGCAGAAACATAATACAATTGACATAATTAAATGGTTAGGAGTGCGTCTGGCGGTCTTATCGCTTTCGAGCGATCTTTACCAGGCAACCACTATATTTTAGTTTATTATAGTATAAAATTTTCTTTTTAAGGATAACGAACATTTTAAAAACGAATGGTACATTTCAGAGTCGAACTTTACGTTTTTGACAAATGTAAGCCAAATTTTCCCTAAGTCTCGGAATTAAGTATTAAGTTTGTTATGGAAAAGCTGGGAACTCTGACACAGCTATTTTTTACTTAAAACGGTTCCCAAATCATACACATTGTAATACATACTTATAAGGAATAAAAAAATTCCAGGTGAACAACGTAGATGAAGTCCTGGAGCGTCACAATGATTTCTTGGAGTCCTGTCTCGGTGATTGTATGCTGACGAGCCCACAGCTGCTCAAGGCGTTCACGACTCTACTTCTTGTTTGCGTGCAATTTTGCACCTTTATCCAGGTATTTAGAGTTGTTAATTCCTTGCATGATTATATTTATCGTTGAGGCAATGGTTAAAGCAATTATTGAAGTCGCTTGTTAGACTGTCTTTTAATGTAGCTGTATTATCAGAAGAGCTGTTTTAATATAACCATTCGCTTTTTATAATATTTTAATAAATTGTCTAAAATTTATTATTCTGTTGTAAAGCTTAGGTTTCCTAGAAAAGCGGTGCAGTTAACTAACGGCCGTCATTTTACGGTTGTTAATAACGGTCGTCTTTACTTTTTAACATAATGCAAAAAAAACATCATTTTCGCTCGTCCAAGTCACGTTTCCAATCATGGTATTAATTAAATATGGGAACCGCTACACGCGAAAAAGTTGAACTAATTTTTATCACCGCTATGACGGCCTTCATGCAAATGACAGCACCACTATTTGACGTTACGGTGACACTCAACGTTCTCTAGGAAACTTACTCCGATGTTATTTATAGACCACGTATGGGTGACGTCACCCAACGTTACACTACGGCCGTTGGATAGCGGCACCGCTTTTCTAGGAAACCTAAGCTTAACAGAACTTCTATAGATTACACTACAGTCTTGCTTTATTGACTTCTTCGTAATGCTTATTATTGCAAACTTGATATCTGTTCCGTGAAAGAAGTCATACGAGAAGCGCCATCTATTGTTTGAAATATTACACAGTAAACAAACAATGTCACTGTAAAAATGTATTGAAATTGTAATTTCAATTAATTATATACGTAATAAAAAAGTTTTTGAAGTGAAACTTCTTTATCGACGTTGGAAAATAAAAATACGTACGCGTACGCGTCACATTTTTCCGTTACGCGCCATCTATTGGATCGGATCCAATTTATTGATTAGTTGCAAGATTGGTTGTTTGTGAAGTTTGCCTACCTCTGAAAACTAACTTCAGGCTTACCGCAACGTACTGTTATTTATATTAGATAATTTTTTCACGTTATATTTAATTTAGTTATAAATAGAAATTATGCTTTTAAATCATTATTGCTTATGTCAAAAACCGTGTAGTGCGTTCATAAAATGTATAAAATTTATATTAATTACAAATATATATAATAACGATAACAATGATAGTAATAAATCTATTACAATTAATGAAATTCTGTAATAATCTTAGTAGAAATAAGGTAAAATTAAATAATTGTATTATTTGTTTTCATGTCTATAATAATAAAAGCCTTTTGTTAAACTTTATCTAACTTAACTTTATTTAACCAATTTCTGTAAAGTTGCATATAGTAGATCATTTTTCGGAAATTAAGATTATAAAGAGGTTTCACTTCTTGCGTGTGTACACTAGTACACGCACACATTTTTTTCTTCTGTGTTTTGTTACTAAACTGTAAAAAATATACAAGTCTTAAATGGTGGTGCTGGCTACAATATAACCTATGACCTCTTTCGTGAAAAGCATTCTAATTTGTTATTCTATTGTTTACGCTATCGTAATTGGCAAAGGAGATGCACAAGTACTTCGTGGATGCAGAGCTTAACAGTATGCTCGGAACTACGTATGACAATACAGATTATATAGAGGTATACAAATTGTCATTGCGCACTGTCAGCTGTCAACGTCACTAGCACAGATCACTGTCATTTTATGACCAGTACAGTTATATGTAATTACTACAGATGTTCATTAAAAAGTATTCATAAAGTACTAATCTCAATTTTAGATGTAGATAGCTTACACTATTTTAACATCTTATGTTAACTATCAATAACAGATTATACACACTATCCCAGCTTTGAGTTACCATGCTGAAATATTTGTTATTCTAGAGATAAAAGATTCATATTTATGGTTTTATTCATAATTAATATAAAATATTACATTATATATATATTAATATACATAGAAAAGCAGGGTTTTAATAATTTTTGGTACCATTTTGTCGATGGTGTCTACAGATTTCTTTTGTAATTATAAATATTTAATATTTTTTCGGCATGGCAACAATGCTTAGACATTTAAAAGTGTCTTGTAAGACATTTAAAAGTGTCTTGTAAGTATTTGTGTCCAAAATCATTGATGTTTCTCTTTATTTTTCATGACTTTTATTAGAACATTCCGGTAAGTTAGTTTATTGTTGTTAATTTTATTTTATTACTTCAATTAGTAGTAACAAAATAGAGTTTTATATTCAAAATACGAAGCGAGTCGTAAATGTTTCACTCGCTACAACAGTTATTGTACCAACGTTCGCAATACCACGACATCAGAGCACCAGACATTAATATGGAAATCGAATTTTTTAATATTAAAGTTATAGTTAGCTAGTTATTGGGACTGCAGTCCATGTGTGGAATACCAAAAAGGTCTGAACAGTGCTTAGGATCTTTATAGTCAAAATTATATAGAAAAATCTACGACTCGTTGAATATAGAACTCAGTTGTTAGTTGTATTACAAGTATATTTGTCATTGTCACTTGCATAGTTTTATTAAAATAATTTATCTATAAATGTGTAAGTTTTACGATTTATTTATTTTTCATAACTACTTCGGCAGCGAACCTTTGTTAATCAACACGTTTTTAGTTCGGATTTTTTCCATGTATAATAAAAACTGATAAGTCTGTGTTTGTTTTACTAAAACAATGGCTTTAAAAGGGGAGGAAAATGTCTAGAGATAGCAAAAAATAGTAAATTGTGGAGGAGGCTTTTACCCGTGGGGGGTCAATATAAATACAATATTTTACTTAATTACTGTTAAAGTCTTGTGTCGTAAACGTGTTTGTATTTTTATGGAATAAAATAAAACTATTTTATTATTATTATGAATTTAAAATATTTGTTTCTGGTCTTTGTCGATGTTAATGACACAATGAATCGTTGATTTACGCTAGATAGATACTACATTTGATTTCTCGAAACATCGAGATATTTAAATAATGTAATAAATTCGGGGTTGTAAGCGTTAATGTAATATTTTAAATGTTTCAGGAGAACACATGTGGTACAACGAGCAGTGGATCAGCCGACTCCTTCTCACAGTCCGTGTCCCGATACGGCCTTCGTTTTACGGCGGGATTACTCTCCGTACTCGCTATTATTGAGAGGATGGCCCGCGACAATAATACCAACAAACTTCTCAATATATCTGCCAGGTATTTTTCTCATGAATTTGGAATATTATATATAACAATATATGTTTCTATAATACGGATGTTAAGCTATAGGTTTTTAGGAAATTATATATAATTCAATTGCTTTTCATTATTAATATATTCATTTAACACTGACAGTTAGTATCTCTATCTATCTCATAAAGGTTAAAAGGCCGGTAATGCACTCGCGAGCCCTCTGGCATTGATAGTGTCCGTGGTCGGTATTACTTAACATCAGCATATACTCCAGCCCGTTTGCCCCCTGTTCTTTAAAAAACAGCGGAATATTTATTTTATTTTTGATCAAAATTGCGTACCATTACGTCTTTTTAGTCCATTTTTGTAAATGTTTTTTTGTTAATTTGGTATATTCTAGGTTGAAATTCAACACATACTACGCGAAGCAGCTAGAAAAGTTCTGCGCTGACGGCAAGTTCTTATGTGTTGATATGCGCGCCACCTAGCGGCGGAAGACGCGCAATCGCGCGCCACGCGTCACAGCTGTGTGATGATGTTTGCCATGTCAAAATTTAATTGCCATACTTTTTGTGTATCATTTTCGAATTTTATTGATGTCTAGAATCTCTGGAAAAATATTCTGGTTTTACTTTTAGGTAAAGTACCTTTAGCACAAACTTTACGATATTTTTGTTAATTAGTATACGTTAATGTTGTTTTCGATAGAACGCGTCTTCCATATTAACGACACGAATACTATTTTATATATTAGTTCCAATTATGTCCACAGAGCGCTGCTCAAAATTTATACACAAATTGTAATTATTCGATCACGTATTGCTCACGCTAAGGGTACAATAAGTAATACTCCATTGTTTTAAATTAATTCATATACTTACATTTTATTCGCATACAATTAATAAATACATACTATAATGACCATTGCCGTAATTTTAGAAATAAATCCTAACATTATTACAAAATTAAATTTGGTTTTAATTTCAAATAATGTTGGAATTTATAGTAGTCAGTTCGGCAAATCGCATTATTTAAAATCTAATTAAATTTTTTAAAATAAAATCAAAAAAAGATCCTCAAACAATTGATCTTTATGTATATGACGGAAATTGACTTTTATTTTGTGTGTGACAGCTCTAATTTATAAAACTCAACGGCAATGTTATCCTCTGTTTCTTAAAGACAATGTTATAAACCGGGCCATTAAAAGTACAAAATAAATATCTGAAATATTTTCTGTCGCAGTATTTTTGATAAATTAAATAAATACAATACTATAGAAAAACTTGAATTCAAAAATGGAACGAATTCCAAAATGTCACAAAGTTCGAAACTTGAATTTATAATTAATGAAATCAACTCCGAGAAGGTTACAAAATTCTAAATTGAAATTAAAAAATAGAATTTATTAAAAAAAAAAACGGTAAAAAATAAAAAGGTTTTTAACACTTCTATAGTATTCGTTATTTATAGCCTAAATAGAACAAATCATTATGTTCGCATTAGATGACGTTTAATATTTAAAATTAGAATTGAAATGTAGCTTAACATTTAATTTGAATACTCATTAGAAAAAAAAAATCGATAACACCAATTTAACTTAGATGTATTTAAATTTACTGCAATTTACATATAAAACTCTAACGCAATTCCATTACTAATTAATTAATGTCGCAATATATTAAGGCTTATATTATACCAATAGTGAGTCATTTTTCATAGCGTAGTAATAATGTCCATGTTTAATATAAAAATTTAAGTTTCCAAAGTTAATTTAATACGACGCGATTTTTCCAAAACATCGTGATAGTTACAAGTAAAATGTTTGTATAAATGAAATAAAATGTGGTTGCACTCAATAGTTTAGGTGTGTGTACGTTTCAGTTTTTGTAACGTTGATATTCATATTTAAGGATTTTCCATAGATTATACTAGTCACATGACATTGATTAGACGGTTAAAGTAGTGCCATTTTAGGGTTTTTATTAAGTTGGTCCATTCCAATTTTGACAAATTTGGCTGTTGTATTCCATGGTATTATTTTTTTAGACTTAATAAAATTTTACTAATAATATGATGTTTTATTTTTCTTAAATCCCGATGACGATCAGAAGGTCAGCTAAAAATTATGGTAAATATTCCTTATCGCGGCACCAGCAATTTTGAGGCTGATTTTTTTTTACAGTCGCGTTATGATCTGTAAACATCTTAATAGTATTGTTATGATGGCGAATGAAAAAAAAAACATTTTTTTTAAAAACCAGTAACCGAAAAATATTAATAATAGGTTTTTTGGACAGCTCCGGCGCTATGGGAAATGCAGCCCCTTCGCCCTTGCGTACCAAAGCACAGGCATTTTATTCAAGCCTCCGCAACTTCGGCTTTTTGGTCGCCTCCGGAGACCATCCTTAGCCGCTCCGACTTGCATAATGCCTGTGCTTTGTTACAGCGGGTGTGGGCTGCTCTTCCTCCGCGCCAAGACCACGTGGATAGTGGGGAGCTCTGATTCGGTTTTGGGTACTTTTTGATTTTTTTTTGGCAAAAAAGGTCATGCGCCATCATAACAACCGGGCAAACAAACAAAACACCAGGGTACCGCAGTCGGGTCGTCTCGCTGTTTGCGAGTAACAAAGATAAATTTTATTAAAACGAATTTATAGAAATTGAAAATAGCGTACATTATTATTCAACATATTAATACGAAAATTGCTTGTATTGAAAAACATTTTAGCTTCAAATACTTATAAGTTATAAAATATACTTTCTAAACATATGAATTCAATTCTATTATTACATTGACATATTTATTTATTAACACTTCGTTACCATAATGTACAAAATCATACATATAAAAAAACAGGTTACATAAGTTATTAGGCAACGGGCGGCCTTATCGCTAACAAAGCGTTTTCTTCCAGGCAACCCTAATATGGAACAATAAAAAAAACCTACAGAGGGTAAAGTACAAGAAGTGAATAATAACTAAACAAAAAAAACTTAAAATAACATGTAACTAAAACTAAAATTAAATAAAGTAAAATCTAAAAAAAAATATTAATATAACCTGTTAGTTAAGTTAAATATCAATATAACCCGTTATCATTTCATAATATCGGTCTAAAAGCCACTAAAAACAGTCCTCTGTTATGTCCTAATTCCGGATCGATTATGATTCGGTTCGGTTTTTATTAGTATTTAAAAATGTAATAACAATTATTATAATTTTAGAGAATTTTTAGTACTAAAAACTAGTGTTCGAATTTTGTCCAAACATTTTTGAACAGTTTTCTGTCACCATTTCAATATCGCGCCACAATTCACAATATACCTATATTTCGCGTGAAACGGAACGTTAACAGTGTGAAGTTTCGGTCGCCTTGCTAAACAAGTCGCCGCCATTTTACGCAGTGACAACTCCGCGTCTGTGTGGCAGCCACGTCTCTGTATAGTACGGGAGGTAGCAACGTTTGAAAAGAAAGAATTTTAGGTCAGCTGATTTTGTGATATGTCTTCCTTCTTGCACTTCCGGTTAGAGTCTGGGCAGTCTGGCTGGCGGTAGCGGTTGCGTTCATTAGTGCGCATCCTATCTGTCCAGGTAATAATCCTGGATTTTAAAAGCATTTTAAGAAGCGTAATTTTTGATTTTTCCTTTTTAAATACGTCTACCTGACATACTTTTTTTATTGCCAGACATTTTTCACGTTGCTAACTATGTGCCAGACGCGATTTTAAGTTTTATTTTTATAAAAATTTCAAAGCATTTTAGAATGTCTGTAATTTTAATATTATGTTATTTAAATATAAGAAAAACTGAAAATGAATTTGCCAGACATTAATTCGATTGTTAAGTCTTGAATTAAAATGATAAAGTATTGCAGTATGATGAAGCATTGCATTTTAAGAAGCGTAATTTTAGATTTTTCCTTTTTAAATACGTCTACCTGACATACTTTTTTTATTGCCAGACATTTTTCACGTTGCTAACTATGTGCCAGACGTGATTTTAAGTTTTATTTTTATAAAAATTTCAAAGCATTTTAGAATGTCTGTAATTTTAATATTATGTTATTTAAATATAAGAAAAACTGAAAATGAATTTGCCAGACATTAATTCGATTGTTAAGTCTTGAATTAAAATGATAAAGTATTGCAGTATGATGAAGCATTGCATTTTAAGAAGCGTAATTTTTGATTTTTCCTTTTTAAATACGTCTACCCGACATACTTTTTTTATTGCCAGACATTTTTCACGTTGCTAACTATGTGCCAGACGTGATTTTAAGTTTTATTTTTATAAAAATTTCAAAGCATTTTAGAATGTCTGTAATTTTAATATTATGTTATTTAAATATAAGAAAAACTGAAAATGAATTTGCCAGACATAAATCGATTGTTAAGCCTTGAATTAAAATGTAAAAGTCATGAAAAGTATTGCAGTATAATGCTTGTAGTACGAGCATAAAAAGGAATATAAAATTTGATTAAAATTAATAATCAACACTTTATTTAAATTGTCCTAATTACTAAATGTAAGTTATGAATAATTAATATTGAGTTTTACAAGTTGTTTTAGCCTATAGTGACGTCACAAAAAAGAGGCATCTTCATAATCATCATCATCATCGTCGCTGTCTTTGTCGGTGTCATTCATATCATCTTCTTGGGAACTTTCGTTATCTTCTAAATCATCTGCAACAGAAAAAAAATAAACAGTGTAATTTTATTGTTCGTTATTAACCATTTTAGTTATTATTGATAAATGTTCCATTTAACACTTACTTTGAACAATAATATCTGCAACTGAGGATGGTAATTGATCTCCCAAAAACCAAACAAAATCATATTTGTCACCGTTAATGGTCCACCCAAAAGCCATTGGAGATAAAGATGTTGGATGTTTTGAGTGAGCTATTCTCCAAATTTTCGTCACGTAACGAACCCTCAATAAATGCTGTTCCAATTCCACTTTACAGGGTGGCAAACTGGATGAGTCAAAGTTTCGAAATTTTTTGTCAAAGTTCTCATCTGATTTTTTTGACTTAAACGTACTTGAAAATAAATGAAATCGAACATCATTAACAATCGAACAATTTTTAACTCCATACATTTGACAAATAAATTTCTCCAGGGTTACAAACGTAGTTTCAAGTACTTCTTTATCATCCGAAATTATATTATCAAAAGCTAACTGGTATTCCTCAGAATTTTCTAATATTTTAAAAGGCTTAACTTTGCCTTTTCTAAAAAAAGCTGGCGTGTAATCACATCCGGTGATTGCGTGGAAGCATGGTAAAGCTTTGCATAAAGAGTCACCAAGAATTCGGTACAATTCATTGATGTTTATGTAACGCTGATGATTTCCAACACCCATATTTATCCAAATTTTCAAAGATTTTTTCAGGTGATCCATATTTCCCAGAAGTATAATTAAAATATCAGAATCAGAACAGCGTATAACAACTTCTGCGTCAAAATCGATTTGGCAAAT